AAATTAAAGTATATTACATAAGCTTTAATTTAAGATATATATAAAAGTGTCAGTCTTTCCGGAACATTTTCAAAAGTTAAGTTGAAAAAGTTCTACTTTCTATACGCATTTTAAAAGGTTTGCACCCCCCCTGTATAAAGGGAAATGGTCCGATTTTAAAAAAAAGTATGTCGAATGAAAGAAGTATATATAAAGTATTTATCATTAAAGAATAAAGTTGATTCATGCATTTTTTAAAAAGTTATAGCAACATAATGTTCTAAAATGTAAAATATAATATCAAGAATTTTTTCAAAAAAATAGCATATTTTTGCATACGGTAGTCATTTTCACCATGAAGTCCAGAGGTCAAAATTTTTTTTTTTAATTAGAATTAAAGTATATTACATTAGCTTTAATTTAAGGTATATATAAAAGTGTCAGTCTTTCCGGAACATTTTCAAAAGTTAAGTTAAAAAAGTTAATTTTTTGTAAATAAGTTATCATTTTGAAACCCCTTCCTGTGGGCTTGTCAAGGGTCAAATGTTAAAATATATATATAAAATGATAGGTAAATATCTAAGGTATCTAAAAAAAAAAAATTATATTGATTCGGTCATTTTTAAAAAAGTTATGTCAATTTTAAGTAAAAAAAATTGAAAAAATATCGAAAATTAGCGATTTTTAAATTTGTAATTTTTTGGGGGATTTCCCCCGTTTACGGGGAACGAGGGAATTTTTTTCAATTTTTGAGGGTAATTTCTTCAACTAGATACGATTTGTGATCTTTTGACATATTGTTCATCAAAATCGGTTCAGTGAGAGCTGAGATTGAGCGTATACAGACACAAAAAAAAAACACATCATAATAAAATTAATAGCTTCTCGTCGAAGCTAAAAAATCAGTTAAGCATAAAAAGGCAAGAATCATTATCATCTGAAAATGAGGGCCGTGGAAAACGAACAAAAATTTTAAACCAACATTTATTTATACATATATTTAACATATATTTATTTCTGATAATCAACAAAATGATTATCAGAAATAAAAAAAAATCATGCTCTCTACTAGTAAATGTAATTACAATTTAAGTAATAATGGTAAATGTAATTAAAAATTAAAGTTAATTTTCAAATAATGTGTTATTTAATAGATTCATCGAATTCCTCTGTACAGTTATTTGATACTTCTTCACTAGTTCTACCCAACAAATAGTAGAATTGTGTTCACTATTCTCTAACAATGATACAATATCACAAAGTGGTATAAAATAAATACATTAGTACTTGAAGTATTATAATAATGTATTATATTTGATGTATTATATATATTTTATAATATTCATAGATTAAAGATGGGTTGTAAAACCAATGAACTTCTCAGCAAATTGCTATTAACTAGCCTTAATGTAAAACAAATGCCATCAAGCAGCTGTAACCGTAATCATTTTTCTTATGTGTTCACGATACCGGCTGTTACTCTTATAGAAATACAAAATATTGAAAAAAATTGAAACGTGCTTCGTCTAAATATTTAATGATACTTATTTATTTTTAACTAATTATAGTTTTATAGTGGTAATTGTTTAAACTCGGATAATTCATTAATCAATTAATAAATTAATTAAATTTAAATTTTATGTAATAGCTATTGAGTAATAAGTTTATAATATTATATGCTAATAATTAAACTTTTCTATTACTTTGTCATAATTAATTTAATAAATAAATTAATATCATCCAGTATTGATTTTTAAATTTTAATTAAAATAATTATATTTTATTGAACTCTAATAATAGGGATCTAATAAATGTCTCATATAAACTGAATTTAGATGTCTGTTAGACATTTCTTCTTTAATGTTGTATTTAGTAAAACACGTTATATAAACATATTATATACGTCTACTAGGAGTCGAGTGTTTACTGGGTATACAATAAAAGGTAAATAATTTCTCATAAGCATAAATATTCGATATTTGTTTTATATTTATAAAAAATTATATCAGAATGAATCAATCTGAAAAAAAGTGCATTATCCTGTTACACAATTTGAAAAAAGAACCATAACTATATTTAGTTTATCGAACTCGGGTTTTTTTGACGTATATTTATTTACATTCATTCAACTATCTAATAACTTTTTCACGTAATTTTATGGAATATTCAGCAATATTGTTTATAATTGTACATTTTTTTACAAATTACGAGCCTAATGTTATCAATGTCATTTTCGTCTGAAATTTTTTCGATAAATATATTTTGACTGATATACTGATCGGCCGTAATACCATTCGTTCGATTTACTTTTAAGTTGTAATACTCTTTGCCTAAAAATTGGTTTGACTATATTATTTTCGGTTGAAATAAACGCTTTTGAAGGATATTCACCTCGAATTTACTTGAAATCACCGAGTAGTAGATTAAGTAATGTTGGTAATCATGTACTATTCTGGATTATATCTATCTTCTTTGAAGTTCTTTATCATTTATTTTTGACGTCATGATCATATAAAACTAGTTGTATGACTTTGCTGTTTGTTATTGTTATGTTCTGATAATTTAATGAACATAAAAATATACAAACAATAGAAGTTTCAATAACATATTAAATTATTTACTATAATAAAATTAAAGTTACTATCTCATACTCATCATAAATATGTTGCCCGAGGAATCTTTTTTTATTTAAAACTGCCAAATATCGTGTCGTAATAATTGCGTGTTTATTTTATTTGTTCTTAATTACTATTTACTTTCATCTTTTGTAGAATGAGATGGCTACTTTATTAGAAAATTCCAAAGGAATGACTGATTCAGAAGCTCACTTATTATCATTTAGCCTTGATAATTTAGAAATTGATCCTACCAGGTAAATATAGTGTGTATTAATTGAATTCGAAATTATTTTATGTATCTGCTAGGTAGTAAATAAAATATTTAATAATGTAATTTATATCATGTTAAATTTTAAGATCAAAAATTAATATAATTTTTTAGTTTATGTTATTTTAAACTCTCTCTAAAATTATTATTCACAATTTTCCTGAATTTTTGGAAGGGCTAATTTTATTTTTGGAGAACTATGAGAAGTATGTGTATAACCATTACAATTATCTCTTTATTTACTATACATCACTCATGTACAATTCTACATCACTACAATTAAGGTTAAAAATGAATTTTAGTGGATTATTAAACAAATTAACTATAGTAACTTAAACAGTAATTTGTAAGTTTCAATAAAAATAAAAATATTTATTGAATACTTTATCATTTTTTATTTCTTCTATAATATTTTTGAAAGAATTTTTTCAATCTTGACCATTTAAATATTATTTTTTTTTAATTTATGGTGCTGGATCATCTGCCCTTGGGCTACTACTTAAATATAGGTCTGATTCATAGTCTCTCGTTACAGTCTCCCCTAGTATTATTATTGCTTGACAATTATATTTTGTTAATGTTATTATTTTTAAAACGATTATGTAGAAATTGTGCATTAAGTTTCAAAGGTACATGATAATCACAAAATGGTAGGGTACAAGAACTGACACCATCACAGTATCATGAATTTGTCCTCACTCTTACTTTTCTAATAAAAAAAAATTATTGCTTATATAGCAAGCAATTTACTATTTATGGAATTATTTTTTATTAAATAAGTCATTATACGTACATACATCAGTTTTACATCCTTCTGTTTCCTGATCTGAACATGATACAGAAAGTAGTGGCTCTCTTTCACATGTTAGGGAATTAAAGAGGGTTCTCGGCTAGACCATTGATAGACAGAGCAGGTATTATGGCTGGCTCGCACCAGAAGCCAGACACTACTTGTGAGATAATCACAAGAAAAATTTCATTGGCACCCTGAGGATCAATTCTGGGATCCTGTGTGCCAAAACATGTGTTTCTGCTCATTAGGTCAGCTCTACCCATTATTAAATTTTAGTTATTAATTTGTATTAATTGTATGGTATAAAAAGGAATATATTTTAATATTAATTTATGCTTATCGCATGTGAATAATTCTTGGTTGCTCAGAAAGATTTATTTTAGAATTTTAAAAATGATACTCTTGGCTAATAAACTATGATAACTGGGATCTATTAATTGTTTTCAGTATTCAAAAAAGTTTAGAAAATCATTATATATTATTTTGTTATTAAATTATTCCAGTAAATAACCCCTCAAATACAATTTATATGGCTTATCAGAATTAACCTAGTTTTTTTTTTAAAGTAATAAATATTCTTTTCTTTTACAGAAAGACCTTATTGATATAAAAAGTAAATCACATAAAAAATTAAAAAAAAGTTGTTTTAAAATAAATAAATTATGCTTAAGGAGCAATGTAATGTAGATCATTTTAATATTAAACTTTAAAAGCCACAAAAATAACATGATAAGAAACTACATACACTGATTTTACTTGTGTTACTATGATCAGCATATAATAACTACTATTGAATTAATGTTATTTGATTTTAACAAAAAAAAAGAAGTACAAGTGTATTATTATGAAAATAAGACCCAATAGTTAGGAGTTTACATTGTAATTATTTTTAAAATCATGTAAACCAATTAAGATGACTATTCAAATCTTTGTTTTGGTTTTAGTCTACAAAAAGCAACATATTTTAATACATCAAGGACTTGCTTACATTTTACTTAAATATAATCTTATTTAACTTAAGTTTCAAATTTGTTTTAGACCTTATAGATACCCAGGAAATTCTTTTGAGAAAGATAAAGACAATGATAATAAAGAATCAAATCAATCAGAATGTGTCATCTGTCGTTGTATGGAGAGAAAATCATTGAATTGTGTTTTTCCTCGGGTAAAAAATTCTGAACAGCCTTTAAAAGAATGTATTCTTAGACCACCAAAATTAAATAGAGCTGATAAATGCAAGCAACAATATGCTGCAGCATCACCTGTTCCTATTATGAGAAAACATCGTCGTAAGCATTCAAATCGTAAACGGTTAACAGATCATGAATTTTTATCTGATTTTTCTTTAAACAATAACAACAATGAGTGTACCAATGTAATACCTTGTAGTGATGATGTTACTATTGATGAGCTAGCAAGTTATTTTGAAGATTTAGTTCACATTCCTAAAAAAATGTCTGATATGGCTGAGCTAATGTACAATTAAAATGTATTTATATTGTATATAAAATAAATATTTTATCTTATTAGTTCTGTTAACTTGTTTTATCAACTTTTTAAACTTGATAAATTAACAATTCTTAAAAAAAAATTGTATTTTGTTAATTAAAAGTAAATTGTTATATTATAGAATTATATTTTTTCTTATATCTATGTCTACAGAGTTTTTGATACTTTTAAAGACTATTGTTATTAGCTTAAATTATTTAAAACGGTAGTATTATTAGACTATTAATATCATGGTGATGAATTGTGTGTGTGTGTGTGTAATTAAATTAATAATATAATAGAAATATTAATTTAATTTAAAACTTTCAGTTTAATAAATTCACTTATTTAGTACTATAAATTTGTGTTATACATACTTGTTAAAAGAAATAATCGTTAGATGTTTAATTTTATTCAATTTCAAAAGATTAATAATAATGAAATTAGTACATAAATAACAACTTACTCATATTATAATTAGTAATCTACATGTTAACTATAAGAAATACTTGTTTTATTATGTATTTCATTATACTTACTGATGCACAAATATATGTATTTAATATTTTTACATGGCTTAATTGTTAATATTGGAATATTAAATATTTTGTCATAATTTTATATTTGATTATATATAAACAAAATAAATTTAAAAACATAATTTTGATAGTAAAATAAAGAAATAACTAGAAGAGGGTCAGCCATATTTTATTTTAATTTATCTTATTTTTATAAATTACAGACCTACAAGCAATGTAACTAAATATTTTTATAATATACAAATATTCTAGATATACTTTACATTTTTTATAGCATAAAATAAGTTTTTTTAATTTTTTGTTTTAGTTTCATTTTTATGAGGTTAAGTATCTACTTATTATTTTTTACATTAAATTTACTAATTTACTTATATTAAATTTAAATAGGACAAAACTTTATTGATAAAGTAGTTTCATATACCAAGGTAATTTATAATTAAAAAAAATTCAAATTTAGCTAAAATCAAGTTATATTTATTTACTATTGGAACAACTAAGTAATTTTTCAGCATCACTTTTAGGGCCATTTGCACATCCTTTCCCACAACAGCTGTTAACAGGTCGATGATTAGGTGTCCAAGCACCTAGGCTATTATTACTATAATAATCCATAGGATAACTCTCTTTATTAGTGAATTCAATTTGACCTAATGCAACAGCCCCTTCATAAGGAGTCAAAAAAGGCTTTTCAAATGCTGTACCCCAGTCAATAGATAAACGAGGACATGCTATCTGAATCCATGCATCAATTGAATTACCAAAATACGATAATTTTAGGGGGAATATTTCTGATAAAAGAATGGTAACACTTCTTTTTGAAAGTGATTCCATTTGGTTCTAAAAAAATAAAAGAAAAAAAATAACTATTATGAGCAATGGAAAAGTTTTAGAGTAATAAAAAAAAAACAAACTATATAATTCTACAAAACTCAAAAAATAATTCTTACATTCATAACTTACATGAAAATAATTTAGTACTTTAGTACTTCCTTGTCTCCCAAGAGTACCCAAAATCAATCCAATTGTTTCAGCATTCTTAGCTTTTTCAATAGCATGTTTCCTATTACTCATCATTACATCATGTTCATAATATTCTTTTGTCATTTTTTTTTCATATGGGTCATATCTTTAATTTCAATATATTATAGTTAATAACACGTCAATAAAATTAAATATTTACTATACAATATTATAATTCATAATTGCTCTATTATAGTTAATTACTATGATAATATTTTTGTATGGCACAAATCCTTTAATAAATAAATATATAGTAATTAGGAATATATATATATATATGGATATATAAATATCTAAGGATTGATGACTAGTCATTGAAAGTATATCGGAAATTATGAAAAAAAGAGGCATGTTATGAATTTAAATCTCACGTCTCAAAGTGCTGTATAAACAAATCTAACCACTAGCAATTTATACTGCACAATTATGATTCTGTTATTGATTATATAATAATACACATCTATATAAGTTGATAACCAGATGTGCAGCTAAGAAAAACACTGTATTGTATCAACTATATCAAGTTCAAAACTAATTGTATTTAACTTCTTATAAATTATTGCAATTTTCAAAGTTAGGATCTGTATTTCAATGAAATCCTCATTAATATATAAACTTTACCCGTGACAATGATCTCTAAAAAATAATTAAGTTTAAGAAATAAAAAGTTGAAAAAATAAATTATTATTAAGAACTTAATTTTTTTTTTTGGTTTTTACTGTGACAGGTATTTTTATATTTTAAAATATTTAAAGCATGTAAAAATACAAATATTTTTCAATGAAGAATTAAATTAATCAATAATTAAAAAAATAAACAATGACAAATATTTTTAGCTAATTGAAAGAAGTACTCATGTCAATACTATGCGAAAGAGAATTAATTTCAGTAACAACTTGTATATTTTAGAAATAGGTACCAAAAGGGTAAACTATCAATATACTTTGATGAAGATATAGGATTTTTGTTTTTTATTTCTTAAAAATATCTGATTGGTATTTAGATAATTTAATTCATGCCATGTCTTTATACTAATACTAAAATAGAAGCAATTATTTTATTACCTATACGCTTCAAGAGAAGGATTTGCAATCATAATTGACTCTAAATGAAAACGACCATCACCTAAGTAAATTAAGCAGTCAACATCTGAAACTCGAGGTGAAGTACACCCTAGTATTTCACCAGGTGATAAAGGTTTTTCTTGAGGAACTTTTACATTAAACCTACAAATTAAAGATTTACACATGTTAAAGAGAAAAAATAACATAAAACTAAGTAAAATCTACTTTCCACTAAAGCTCAAACTTAATTAATTCAGAAATATTTTTAATTAATAGTATTATATTTAACTATATAAATCATTATAAAAACAAATTTTATTTTACAGCATCTCGGAAAGGTTTAAATTTGATCTGTAAATTTTTTTCTATAAGTCAACATCCAACACTAGCATTATAATATTAAATAATAATAATTAATAAAATGAATATAATCAATAAAGTAAATAAATAGTAAATGTTTATAATAATGCAGTTAATCAAAATTCTAGGTTTGAAATAATAAATCATATGCATATTTATACTATGTATAAATATGCAAGTAATAGCTATTAATTATGTTGTCTTAAATATAAGTTTTTTTTAATGGTAACTTAAGTAATATTTGAGCAAAATGATATTTTGTAAAAAATATTGTACAAATGTTAAACAATTTGTATAATTATCAATAAAGTAAGAATTTGTATGCTAAAATGGCTAAAAGTTATTTTTACAATTTAATACATTTTAAGATGAGAGAAAATAGATGTAGATGGTTTGGTCAGTATGTCAGTCATGTTATGAGGAGAGAAGAATCGGAAGTTGTAAGAACAGTTAAAGAAATGAATGTTGAAGGAAGAAAGGTAGAAGAAGACCAAAAAAGAGATTGAGAGATGCTATTGAATGCTATATGAGGACAGCTGATGTAAGCGTAGATGATGTGGAAGATTGTGTCAAGTGTCAAGACCCCAAGTAGTTGGGATTAAGGCAAGGAAGAAGAAAAAGATAAATTTTCCAAAAAATTATTCTTGAAAAATTTTAAAATGATAAAAAAATATAAACTATTTATTGTAGACTTGGAAAATCATTTAAAACATTTCTATAAAGTTAACATATTTAACAATGTTCTAACATATTATTTTATTAGACTGATGTTTTTACCATTGAAGTAACTAGCTTGAGGGACTTGACTTAAAATGTATAAATAACCTGTACACGCAAAAATATTTTATATAAAATTTTCGATTTGAACTCATTGTAATATAAAACAATTTGTATCTAGTTTTCCTATGTTTATATATACACAAAAAAAATACAAATTTTTGAAATTCTATGCCTCGAAAATAAAGGCAGGATTCTTATTGGCAAAAAAGAAGAAAATTTTTTTGCTTAACATTATATACCTAAGAATTTATAAGATATGAAATATGCCTCAAAAAATATTGAGATATTATCTCTCATAGACTAAAATTCTTAGTTATGCCCATCATTTGTATACATGTATTATCTTTACTGAATTTGGAAAAAAAATCTCTAGGATTTTTTTTTTATCTTCCAATAATGTAGTAACTATGAAAATAAAGCTATAAAACTTATAAATTACATATCCTTACCCATCTAGTTTAAGGCGATTTATTAATCCTTGTAAAGTAGTTACAAATTGTACAGTGCTAACAAATAATAATCTTTGCTCCTTTGTGAAATTTAACTTAATAGTTTCTATAAGATGAATAGCATCAATTTTTATATCAACAAATACATAAAGCACCTTTACTCCTTCAGTTTGATCAACAGGTATTAAACAACTATGTCCATAATGCACTAGCAAGTCAACACCAAGAGCTTTAGCAGTAAAATCATCAACACAACATGCTCCATAAGTAACATCACCCATAACTACTGTGTCTGCATCAGTAAAATGTTCAATAATATCGCATAGTTGAACAGCAAACATAGTTAAACCTTCGGGCATCTGAAGTGCCACACGTTTGGCTTGCATTTGTCGCAAACGCCATATAGTTTTAGGTAATTCAAAGTTATAATTAGAAGGCAGTGACTGAATTGCTGCAATTAACTCAGGATTATTTATAATTTCATCGGGTATTTTGTTTAGTACTTTAGCAGACGGACGAAAAACTTTTCTTTCAGTATTTGCTTTCACAACTACCGCATCAGACATTGTAAGATAATTAATTTTATTTATTTATATTTAACTAACTATTAAAAAGAAGGCAACTAAAGAGTTTTAAAGTAATAGTCAAAATATAACTCGCAAAAAAAAAATGTTTTAGTTAGATTAGGATTTTACGAAAATAACAGAAATTGTACATGATGGAGAAATTACTTATAATGAATACTCTCATCGATACCACAGACTATATAATCTTTATCTAAGTGGATACTTTATTTTTATAATTGATAAGTAATTTTGATAGTCGTAACTACGATAATTTTATCTTCATTATGTTAACCCTTGGCAAAAAAGGTGATTGAAAAAATTACACCAGTTGAGTTCTCCACCAGGTTGCGCTGAATACCCGATAAACGACCAGAATTGTTGGTTGCTTATGGGAATAATTCGATTTATTTAGATTAATTAATAAATTATGAGTCATTTTTAATAAAGAACTGTTATAATATTTAGGAATAATAATTTTCAAAAAAATTAGATCTAAAAATTATATATATTTATTAAAATAAACTTTTTATACAAGTATTGTATTTGTGTAACATTAAAATTCATGCATTTACATTAGAGTGGATCAAAAAAAATCGATCATCGAAATTTTAATAAGAACCATTTTAACTATATTATATACATTAAAATAAGCATTTTGTGAAGATTTGAAAATTTCATAAAAAAAAAAATAATTTAAAAGTATTTAATGATCAACTTCATTTAAAAATATTTTCATGATATCATATATTTTAGTTCACACATTATTAAAAAAAAAATATGTTTATAATAATTAAATTTAAATATTCAGTTTCCATCTTCCTCTCCTTCTACAAATATATATTATCTTGGTTTTAAAATTGATATAATATATAATTATTATATTGAAATCATAATGTTTATCAGATTTATAAGCATAGCCCTACATATGTCTAGTGCTTATAAAAAAATTTTTACAAAATATATAAAACATTAACACTTGATATTTCACATCATCAATTAAAAATTTTAATATTTTTTAATATTTTGATTAGATCGTAATTATTAGTAATTTAATATTATATTGCAATTGAAGTTAAAAGATATTAAGAATATAATAATAATGTAATATGAAAACAAAAATGTTTATTAAACGATCTATATTGGATTAATTATAAATATTTATATAATCTAAAAACTGCTTTATTATTATTGTTTTTTATAATATGAATGATTATGCTTTTTACTTGATTTGATGTATTTCAATTGTTGTGCCTCGCTTAGAATGAGACACGATAACGTGTTGGAGTGTGCTGTAGGTTGTAATATTAATCAAAATAACACTTAAATTAACCACCAATGACTACAATAATACAATAATATTTTTATAAATATTACAGTTATAATTAAATAAGTTTTTAATAAATAGTGCTATAATAATTATTAACACGTATATATTAATGTGACATTTTATGCAATAATGGTAGTCACTGGTAATGAAAAAAAGAAAATGTTAATGACGTTAAGTGAGAATTAACAGAGAATGTCAGATTCCACTTTGTAGAATTGATTAAATGTGGTTATTTTTTCGAGATGATATTTTATAGTTTCAAAAAGAGATTTCACACAATGTGGGGAAATCTTGTCAGTTTTATCTCTAATGAATCCAATGGGTACTTTTCTAAAAAGTACATAGGGTGAGAATTGAAGCGTTTGTTTTATAGCACCAGCCATTACAATTAAATCGTCATGCGCAACAAATAAGGCAGTAATCAAAAAATTCTACTTTGAGATTATGAGGTATTTGAATTTAGGCTTTCTTCTTCTTATAATAACTTTCATGGAAATATCATAAATTTGGTTTGATTCGGAATTAAACTACTTAGAAAATAAAAACATAAAGAGTATAAATAAATTTTAAATATATAGTACTCAACAAAGGCAAAAAGAATACTTCTAAAATTATTATTACTTTAGGAAAAATTTATCAATAATCAATCACTCTGTAAATATGTTCAAATAACATATTAAAATATTTTTTTTGTAATATTTCAAGCAATTTTTAATAAGCAGACTTATATTATTATGTATTATATTTATATAATTATCAAGTTTAAAATTTTGTAAACAATTAGTTTTATTTTTATATTTTCAATTAAAAATTATTGAAATGCATAACCGATTAAATATTATAAATTATATAATATACTGAGTGATTGACTAACTATGCCTCACGAATTATCTTTGAAAATATAAGAGTTATAAACAATTTTTTTTTTAATCATTATGGATCTTTGATGAGCTGTTTCACAAGAAAATTTAAATTTTTACCACCATCCCTTATGCTTAAAAATAGTGTCAACTTCATATTTTCAAATTTTCATAATTTCAACTTGGAACTTCCTGTATACGTCAATACATTAACCATCGACGTATATACTATTGCCCGTTTATTGTGCCTAATC